CAGTAAATACCAAAGCAGGCAGAAGGTAGGTGTACATACAGCACACAGCACTATAGAAATGTCTGGCTTGTTTTGAATTCCTGCCATCTGCTGCCTAGTATATTCTTTTGCAATCACAGTACAGGCTTCTGATTAAAGAGAGCATTTCTAGCACCTGAATAAATAGCCTTTCTCATAACAGCACACCTGAACAACAGGAAAGGAAGATCTGAAAATATGAGTGGGAGAATTGTTACATGTACAGTTATGACCTTGAAAAAACAGCACTCTTCAGCTGTCGCTCATTAGGCAGAGTTCACACAATGAATAAGAACCAAACCCTCCTGAGACCTGATTCAGCCACCCTTTCATTCAAAGACCATACTTTCTCTGACTTAAAATCTGAATTGGATGCAAGGCCAGTACATTGCATCCTACTTAAAAGAGGAAAAATAAATTGCCAGAACTTTAGCTCAGCTATTGGAACAACTGAAGGGCACTACAGCACATTTACAGTAGTACTACAGGACAGAGGGGAACAAAACTACTGCTAACATGCTTAAAATGAGTCATTTCCTATTGTAAAATGAATGCTTGTTCTGTAAGGAAAGAAGAATCATCTCAAAAAAGAATAAATTCATTCTGTTCCTGCACAGAACCGGTGACAGCAAGGTGTGTAGATAGGAGTGATTTAGTTTGGTCAGTACATCTGCAGACTGTGGCCACTACAGTCCTGCAGCCTGAAAAGCAGCATGTGGATGAACCCATGCTAATGCATGGATTGTGAAGAAGTTGATTCCACATTTCTGGACGCCACTACAGAGTACAACTGCTAGCTTTGGTTTTCTTCTGCCACGTCAGTAGGAAACAACGCTGTCAGGGCTGTAATGATAATGAGGTGCCATATTTGGGAGGCTCAGTAGACTATGAAGTGCACAACCTTGCATGGCAGGCTGCTAAAATGGATTGGGAAGGAAAAACTCCAGAGGAGATTTTTCCTTGAAATGACAACGACACATAAGAGAGAGCACAGCCAGTTTTCACGGTAGGTGGGTAATGCTGAGCCCCCAGTTGTGAAGAAGTCAAAACATTCAGAAACACTAGGCAGTCTAATATCCTGCTGTTCTTCATCCACTCCCTTATTTAGTTCTGTCCTCCTCATCCTCTTTCTGCTTCCTTCCATAAAATGGGGGTGAATCAGCAGAAACAAGCCAGCAGGAGCAGGCCTTCATCCGCATACAACGAAACAATTTGCTGTAGGCAAACAAACAACGCGGAGATGTCCTGATGAGGTGCCCTCTGCTTTCACACACCAAGTGCAAAGCAATCCCTGTCCACAAAAGCTTTCACCTTTCTGTTTCAGGTGGTCTTTTTGAGCCTATGATCTCTTTTCCCGTTAGCTTTGAGACACCAGAAAAGGAAACAAAGCCGAAATTAACTCCTCGAGAACAGGAGACCTTACACACAAATCCATTTTCATTCTGCAGGATACAGAAAAGTACATAAGGATCCTAAACCCCAATGTCTGGAGTGCTGTTGGTGCTGTTCTCAGAGTGACCTGATGAGAGAAGATGGTATTGGGTTGCCCCCCAGGACACCAATATGGTTGTGCAGAGAGAATGAAGTAAAGGCAGCCAAGTAGGACCTGAATTAGAAGTACAGAAGACGACAAAAAAAGAGTTCTATCCCTTTATTCATGGAAGAGGAGAGAACCTTGCCTATTGAAACCTCGAACATCTTTTTCACTAAAATTGTTCCCTTCTACCAACTGAAACAGAGAGTCCTTGCAACAGTCGTTTAGCTTCTCCCTCTTTTCAATCATAATGGACCATTGGCTGCACAGACAGGGGCACTAGAGGTTGCTTTTGGTTTCAAGACAAATTACCTGTCAGTCTGTTATATCAGACTAGGATATTTCTCAAATGTTTGTTCCCTCCAAGAGTGTTTTCTTCAATGTCCAGACTAGCACACCAAAGAGTGATATATCTAGTGTGGATGCAGTATAGTCTCTGTGGGGGGAATAAAGCCAAACTGCAATGGTTTTACATAGTCTGTAATTTCCTGCATATTGTGTAAAATTGGCGTAGTCTCTGAGAAAGCTTGGCCATGGGGTTTGCAAGCATGAGCTCCTACTGCATTAGCTAATGCTTTAGGAAGACATAAAGACTGGTTTATTTTAGCAAAACCACAATCAGAGGTAAAATCCTCTTAATTATTCATGTTCAGTAAAGAATTCATGCCAGTGCCCTTATGAAATCACATCCTCTCTCCATCCCAGTCATCCCATGAAACACCTTTGGCACCTGCCTCAGTGCTTTGGCATTTGGTATCAGAGGGGTAGAATGGTTTTGTCACCCTTGAGCTCAAGTTACTCAGCCTGGGACCTCTTACACTGTGCTGACAGCCCACATGTAGAAGCCACAGACACTTGCCAAATGAGACACCTGAATTGCCTTGAACATCTCTGTCTGTCCAGATATGTTGCATGAATAACCAAATTCCTTTTATGATTTCTGCATTATTTTGCAGATTGCTTTTTCTCTTCCCAGCATCAATTTCCATTGGAAAGCTTTACTGCTCTGGTAGCAAAATGTGAGGCTAGATTTTGAGATGTGCATTTTAGACATTTTTATCCTTGTGTGAGTGCCTCTAAGAAAGGCTTTGGGGAGGCAGGGGAGAATTCCTGAGAGTCATTAGAGACTTTCTACCCTGTAGGCCCAGCTCAGGAAAGGCAGATGAAGAGGGTGAAGATGGCAAGAGGAGAACCAGATCCCTGTCACGTTCACACACATGTGTCACCAGTGAGCACAAACCAGACCTTCCTGTGTCTTAGCCCAGTGTTCCTTCTCATACTGCAGAAATAGCCCTATTTTATAAAGACTATGAAAAAATCATACTCCAATGGTCTAGGAAAGCCAAAAGCAGCGCAGTGTAATTACACCTTTCTGCCAGACAAAGCTACTGCACTCCAGCCTCAGTGGCTGGCAAGGTTCAAAGTGAATACCAGCCACTGGCACCTCCATGCCATTACTGCATCTGTGGCCTCCAACAGCGAGGAAGTGCTTTTCCTGGATTAAAATCCTCCTCTGGCCTCCATGACCCACTGATGGCTAATGCCAGCCTCAGAGCAGAGTACCTCATTCACTGCATCCTTCCCCAGAGCCGTCTCAGCTAATAAATGCTGTTAGTGAGAAAAATGGCCCCAGAGGCCAGATTTCCTTGTCAGAATCCGGCCTCTGGCGCTAACTCGTTCATTCACTCGTGACTTGTAAGTGCAAGGCCATGCTGTGTTTTCTCTGGCAGTGACTAACCCAGTCTCCTGCATATAAAAGGGAGTTCAGGTTGTCCTGTTGGCCATCCTCTACCTCCAAGTTCTCTTTCACCCTCAGAACTGGTGTGGTCTGTCCCTGCATGTGGGATTTCTAAGCACAAACCACATGAGAGCCTTCCTACAAGATGTGAAACCTGCTCCAGTAGCAGTCCTACATCCGTGTCTGCTGTAGTTTTTATGATGCTCATTTTTTTTTTGCTTATATCCCCCTCCATCCCCACGGAGATAATGCAGGCACCAGCAGAAGGGGCTGACAGCTCTTCCCTCCTGGGGGTGCCTCGCCATGAGCTGTTCGACAGCGCTCAGACAATTGAACAGCAAATAAATCCATTTATTTTCAAAAATCAATCCTCACAGGAACTCCCAGGGAAGCAAAAACTTGTGTTGCGCTAATTATATTCTATAAAGTATCTCTTTACGCTTCACAACAGTTTAAGGAAGGATCTCAGGATATGATAATAAAAGAGAGGAACAAATTGAGGCACAGTTCACAGAGACTGTCCCCATCTGCTCTAGTGCTGAGTTTGATTCATATTGGCTGTAAGAGGAAAACGTGGACCTGCCCTATCATTTTTAAGGGCAAACAGCATCCAGGGGTCATTTTCAAAGGCCACATAACCAGCTATAGCCAACTTCAGTAATAAACAAGTATTTAAATTGCCACAGCAATTCTGAGTTTCTTTTTAAATAATTCCTGTTATGTAGCACTTCCATCAGAAATCAACCCTTGTCATCAGCTTCCCCAGAGAGCTCCCACACAAAGTAAGGGCTAAATGCCATCCTTATCTCCAGCCTAGTAACTATTGGTGCATTAGTAACCGTGGTCAGATCTGGCTGCTGGACACAGTACCTGTTTACATTTGAATATTGCCTCCTAGTTTAGAGGAAATCACCTATTGCCATCAAGCCAAAACATCCCTTGTTCTCACCGTATATTTTTAGCATGTTGTACTTCCATTCTCAGAGTTTCTAAATCTAAGACCGAGGTGTTACTAACATATTTTCTAAAGCAACTTAAAATTTCCCATTTGTAAGCTGTCTCTCTGTGCCGGTCAGGTGACTAACGCCAGGCCTGCAGAGAAGTTTCGTACATTGCACAATTATTTGTGGGGATCCTAGGGATCCTAGCAACAACTGTATTGGGTAAAAGATGTCCATTATATTGTGTGGCCTAATGTTTATCACACTCAGCGAGCGACACTCGTGGCTACTTCATTTAGGTGGTTAGTAATGCTGAACTGCTGAGCCACACAGCCAGCCTTGTCCCCAGCACCACGGCACTGCTGCTCGTGTTGTAGTGGCTGTTACACTGCATGGGCTGCTGTGTTCGGGCAAAGTGCTCTCAATTAAAAAAAAAACCCAAACCAGAAAGCCCAGAAATACGCCTATTTCTTCTTTACCCAGATACAATCGCTCCTGCTTAAGCTCACGTGCAGTGGTGATAGTCAGTGAAAGGAGCTCTTCGAATCCCCTGCAAAGGCCGTCCTTAGACACTATTTGAGCGATGACTGTAATCCATGAACTAAGAAGCTGGAGAAAAAACTGTGCCCTTAGGTCACAGGCACTGCTTTGAGGAGGCACAGAAGATTGCCTGGGCTCTGCAGCCACGGCAGCATGGCTTCAGTATGGGAAGTAAACCCAAATCCACATGAGAACCAAAGTTACTCCTAAAGGGAGATCCCTCTCAGACATGCAGAACCTCCAATGGCGTGAATTTCAGTGCTACAGTTTGTACTCAGAAGCTGATAAAGTCAGGGGAGACGTCAAAGGAAAGATGTGAGTGTCCCATGATGAAGCCTGGATGAGTTAGAAGGTTGCCATATTTTGAGCAGTGTGGGCCAAGGGTGTTTGGGTATCAGAGACCTTCAGACACTGTGCCTCAAAGGCATCCTCAGGCCTGAAGGGAAAGAATTGAGACTGCCATTTCATACAGTTGCTTCTAATCATCTGCCAAAGGCACCTCAAGGCTTCAGCCAGCTAGTCCCTAATCAAGCCCTGGTTCTCAACCAGATATTTATAAATTCAGAATACTGCACTGCAGCATGCGACGCTGGCATAAATTCCCATCTGTCATCCCCTAATCATCTCCCAGCACAGTGATCAATCTCTTTCAAATTCAAATTATCTTAACCACTTAGTATCTAGAAAAAAACACTGCAAGAAATGGGCAGTGTACCGTCCAGGACAATTTAGGGGTGCTGACCTCCCCAACAGCTGTGGCTCCACGTATGTTACAGTAGAGACAGATACTTTTCTATCTCCGTCATCACCATCTCTGCCATAGTCCTCATCACACACTACAGTATTAGTGGAAGGATTAGGGTCAGCCAGGTTAAAATATGGTTGCAAATACTCTTCCATCACCTTTCACCCACAGTGGGTAATTTTTGCCCACAGGAGAACAAAAGAGCAGGACTTACAGATACACTGGCACAAGGACACAGTTGTTCACACAGAGCTGTGTGCCCACACATTTTCCATTTTACTGAGTTTGAGGCAGTGTTTGAGGACACACCAAGGACTAACTCAACACTGGCTAGGAAATGGGTGAAGGACTGAGACATTCATAGCCCATCTACACTTCCCCTATACAGTATGCAGCAAGAAAAACACTCACAAACCCTGTGCTAAGACACTGTCACACTGGCAACTTTCTGCTGCACCCCAGTATATATCTGTTTTCACAAAGTAAGTGATGTTACTGTATTTCATATCATCCAGCCAGAAAAGGCTTGAATGTGATCCCAGGGAAAGCATTTCCAGTGCAAGATACAGTAACCCTTGCAGAAAAAATGGGATAGAGCTAGCATGTATTTTGTCAGATCAATTTTCTAATCCAACTCACCAGGCAAGGCTTTGCTGGCCTTAGATGAATAACTTGCACTTCAGCACATGCTGTTACTGCCATGGCTGGTAACCCTGAGAGGCAGGGGCAGAGGGTACAGAGGAAAGGACTGATCATAAATTTGCTCCTGTAGCAAAACTGAGTGGGGTTATTAGAAGGTGTAGGGAGTGGATCTGCTGTGCCTGGGCACAGCCTGGCTTCAGCATCCCTGCAGGAGCTGCTCTGACAGTCAGGCCAGTTACCAGCAGGGACCAGTGTCTTGAGACATCCCTCTTGCTGCACGCTGGCTCCAGATGCTGCCACTGGAATGAGTCAAATCCAGAGGATTTAAAGAGAAGATGCGCCCCATGGGTCACATCCAATATCTGAAGCCGAGCCAGTCAGTCTGTCTGGCCAAAACCAGCAGTGGCTGCAGAGCCATGATAAACACTCCAGCTCGAGGATTTCCTTGACAGTACATCACTCACTGCACCTCCAGGGCTCATCAGCAGGCACAACAGAGGCATTTCGTAAGCAAGTAAGTGAAAAATGACACAGCAGTTCTGACTGTATCACCTCTTGTCTCCCACGTCTGCTCTGAGCTGAAATCAATGCAGTTGCATTCCCATTAATGGAGGACAGAATCAGGAAAATTCCCCTGAAGGCAATTCGAGACGATACCTTGGAAAGATCATGCTGCCTTTTTTTTTTTTTTTTATAATATAGGGAAGGAGTCAGTTGATTGTCATGTTTTGTTTAGTTTTGTTCCAAGATACAAAATTAATACATTAAGTTAATACAAAAATAGGTGAGGGCTGATGAAGGCTGTTAGTCAAAATCATTCACTCTGCTGCAGTTCATTTCCCTGGTGGCAGAAATCCGCTTCCAGACAGCAGGCTTTGAAGGCACTTATGAAGGAGGAAGTTTTTTTCAGTGCCAAGTAAAACAGTTTTTAAAAAATGAGCATTTCCAGTTGTAGGACATGTATCCTAAGTTATCATTACCTTAATGTCAGCAACTTCCTTTCTCTCTGATTTAAAGGAATCCTTACAAGTATTGTTGATTTGTTTTGGGAAATCCATCAAAGCTGGCAGAAATGTTTGAAGCACTGAATGCACAGAAGAGGTGATTTATAGAACACTTAGGAAAGTATCAACTACAAACATTTGGCAGCCTCTTGTACAGTACACCAGAGTTCTGATTTTTAAGCACTACTTCAAGTATTATTCTAGCCAAGTGATACCAACTTCTAATGGGAACAATCTTGCCTGTCTCATTCCAGCCATAGTGATAGTAGGAATAATAGAATTATTTTTTTCCCCACTTCAAGACTACACAGTAAATTCTAGTAAACGAGAGCAAGTAGTTAAAATTTGGTTGCACCTTAGTGCACCAGGAAAGCTCTCAAGGATTGCAAAGGCTGTTTATATTCATGGGGAGCTCTGCCTGGCCAGGGGTTGTAGGACTGATCCCTTGTAGCACTGGTTCAAGAAGACATTAAAGTATATCTAAGTTTAACCAAAGATTTAGAAAACTGAGGCAAACCAGGTAGTGACAGAGCAGAGCAAAGACACTTCAGCACTTCACCACAATATTATTTCACTGCCATGCAGTACATCTGGGTGACGGGTCTGTATTGTGGCCAGAGAGTTGCAAACAGGCGCTTTTTGGGAAATTCAGGGATGTTTACACTCATGCTGAATCAGAACATCCATCATGTCTGATGTGACCAGCAGGATTTCATTTAAGGCTAAATTATATCACTTTAGAGGAAAAATGCCTTCCAGCTGAAGGACTTCTAAAGGGCAGCTCTGGGTAAGCAGGCAGGTCTTGGTGGAGCTGACTGTCTCAGTGGTGGGAAGGGAGATGCTTCCCCAGAGCCCATGAGTAAGAGAGCAGGTCAGACAGGAATGACTGAATCACAGAAGAATCTCAGGAAGAGCTGAGGACACTTGTTTCCCTGAAAGTCCTTCTCTCGATTGGGAGCCCACTCAGTCAAGAGAGAATTGCCTAATCCAGGTGGCTTTGGTTTCAGTTCTGAAACAGTCAGGTACCACAAGCTGGGATGAGAGACAAAATGTGTTTTACTCCAGAGCCCATCCCACCCTTCTCATTTGTCCCTGGTTAAACAAAAAAGTAAAAAAAGCAAGGTGATAACCAAGGGAAAATGTGCATGTGAGCTATTAGCTTTTTACTCCTGCTACCCCTGCCTCTGTGTGCATGGACAGGGGGCCCAGAACCCTCTGCTCAGGATGTGTATTCCACAGCTGAGAGCAGGGCCACATGCTCCTCCCATTGCAACAGTTTCTCTGAGGAACCTGACTGTGGCATTTTCCTTCTGGTTTAAATTTAATAAAGGTGATCATGCTGCGAAGTGCTTGAGCAGTCCAAACGAGCGCTCAGAAAAGCTGGTGTTACACCTTAATAGCCTAACTTTGCGTTTCTTTCTCCACAGCAAACATCTTGACAGTCATCATCCTCTCCCAGCTTGTAGCTCGCAGGCAGAAGTCCTCCTATAACTATCTTCTAGCTCTGGCTGCTGCTGACATCCTGGTTCTCTTCTTCATCGTCTTTGTTGATTTCCTCATGGAAGACTTCATCTTAAACAAACAGATGCCTCAGGTACTGGACAAAATAATTGAGGTCTTGGAATTTTCTTCCATCCACACCTCCATTTGGATTACAGTTCCACTAACCATCGATAGGTACATAGCTGTGTGCCACCCGCTGAAGTATCACACAGTCTCCTACCCTGCTCGTACTCGAAAAGTCATAGTAAGTGTCTATATCACCTGCTTTTTGACCAGCATTCCCTACTACTGGTGGCCCAATATTTGGATTGAAGACTACATAAGCACATCAATGCATCATGTCCTCATTTGGGTCCACTGCTTTACTGTTTACTTAGTGCCCTGCTCCATCTTCTTCATCCTGAATTCCATCATTGTGTACAAGCTGCGGCGAAAGAGCAATTTCCGACTGCGAGGGTACTCCACAGGGAAAACAACAGCCATCTTGTTTACTATAACTTCTATTTTTGCCATACTTTGGGCACCAAGAATCATCATGATATTGTATCACCTCTACGTGTCACCTATAAACAACAGCTGGGTGGTACATATCGTGTCGGACATCGCCAATATGCTTGCACTGCTGAACACTGCAATTAATTTCTTTCTCTACTGTTTTATTAGCAAAAGATTTCGCACAATGGCAGCTGCCACACTGAAAGCCTTCTTTAAGTGTCAGAAGCAACCTGTGCAATTCTATACAAACCATAACTTTTCCATAACGAGCAGCCCTTGGATTTCCCCAGCCAACTCTCACTGCATCAAAATGCTTGTTTACCAGTATGATAAGAATGGAAAGCCTATAAAAATATCACCATGAAAAGGGCAATAGCTGGAGTTTCTGGGTGCAAGTTCCTTTCAAGTGGTTACATCTTCGGGATGTAATTTGCTGAAATGGCTGTTTTGAAGAGTGGTCATTTGATTTCATTTCCCTGGGAGACCAGGGGCAGAGCAGACTGTCAGGAAGGAACAGGAGCGCTTGATTTTAGAAGGAAAAGTAAGAAGGCAAATGCCTCCATCTCTTATATAGCATTTTGAATATGCTTCAGAGTTCAAGTCTTAGTGTTCAGCCGCCCTCAAATGTTTTGCATCCCAGCATCAGTGCAGTCCAAAGTCATTGGAGGGGCGAAGCCACAGCAGTGTTTAATTACAACCTTTTAACACACAACAACAAAACCTTGCTCGACTGTGTCGTTTGCTGTCGACAAAGTGAATGGATGCTTTTGTGTACTGTGGAAGGTGCCATTTCTGATGTGTGCACTTGCCAAAAATTATGTGTTGAATCTGACACAAAATGCCACCACACACAGTTTTGCTGTCAAGACCTCGTTGCAGGAGGCAGCGTGTGAGACACAAGTGGTGACAAGCCCTTTTGTGGCTCACTTGAACAAGGCTCAAGGACTGATACAGTACCTGTTGCAGCTTTGACATGGAAAGCAATCCACAAGCTGTCAATAGTCATGTAGTTTAAGTTGTTATTTAAGAATGTGACTGAGACAGAGGAGCTGGAAGGAGGGAGGGAGGGAAGTTTATAGAGCCAAGAACAAAAGCAGCATCTTTTCCCAACTATTTCAGTTATGGTGTCTAAGGACTTTTAAGTTTGAAACCAAGTCCTGCCTGATGCAGAAGTTCCACCAAAGTTGCTTCTGTGAGGTTTGGAGTGATCAGAGCCTTCAAGTTCCTTCTTAATCAATACAGATTCTCAGTTATCCTCCATGTTCAGGCCTTTAGGGATTAACATATGAAAACCTCAACCTAAGCTTTTCTCCTGATGGATGATGCCCTTCTGTTGCAGATTTGCCATTTAATTGTTAAAAACAATTATGAAAGAAATTCATTAAATACCCAAGAGCAGTAAAAACATAAAAGCCTTAGTCTAAGCTGATCTAAGTATTACACTTACTTAAAGTAGGTTAACTTCTTTTCCTTCACACTCAAAAAACAGCATCCCATCAATGCTGAGTGTAGGAAATAAGCAGAGATTTACAGGAAGGCTGAAAATGTACTTCTTTTAATTTCTTTCACTTTCAAATCTTTGCATGTGGTCTCGGAGCCACATACCACAACCTTTTTGTTCTATATTGGGCACTTAATGCAGCCTCACTGATGTGAGAGCAGTGAAGGTACATGGTGAACACAAGCACAGTGTGGTCAGTGGACACAGCAGCTCCTCAGTAAGTACCTTGGTGCTAGCACTGCATTTGTGCCTGTGTCCATCTCCAATGCCAGCAGAGAGCTCATGGTGCATCAGGGACTAACATAGAGGGTCCTTTCAGAAGGGATCCAATCAATCCCACTGCGGTGGGATCTGAGGGCTGAAAGCATCTCTCTAAAACCCATGGATGGCTCAGCTTTGGTGCATTTTCCCTAAGAAATGCCAAGTCTGCAAAAGTCTTGGACAACAGCCTGGTTCCCCTCTGCCACACAGGGTGGGTTTGCACAACACCTCATACTGACATCCTGCAAGAGCTAAACCCACAAACCCGAGCACAGAAGGGAAGGGCAGCAAAAGGCACAAGGTGTGAAAATCCGGTCCCCAGGCAAGGGCTGGCTCTTGCATGGAGGGGTGTTCTCAGGAAAGATCAAGGTTGCTCAGTTTGGTCCAAATGCCCAGGGCCTTGGGGAGCACACGCCCCCCAGTCCTCTCCCACTGGCAGAGTGTTTGGGAGAGCTGCTCAGCACTCCTCTTGAGGTGCTCAGGCACCCCAGGGACCACGCAGGTCAGAGCAAGGAGAGGGGCACATCTGGGGAAATGGGGGCTGAGAGCAAAAGCTGACGCTTTCCACCTTCACCACCGAGGGCATGGTGCCCACCTAAACATCCCCAAAGGGAAATGAAGAGCCTCTCAGTCTGTCAGCTGTTTGCCCCTGTGATCTCAAAGCTTCACCCTTGCAATGATAAGTGCAAAAGGGATGCTGAGCCTTGCTGTATTTTTCATGGAAAGGTTAAAATTATTGCTTCCTTTAGTGGTGTTTTACAGAAATTCAGTTTTGTGGCCATCCCTTCTGCCCTCCTCTCACAAACCTCTCTCTGGTCTTTGTCAGTTGATAGTAACCAAAGTTACCTTATGGAAAAGGTACTGTATGTCTCATTTTGGGAAAACACTGTATTTATAACTTATTTTTATTCTACATTTGTTATGAGGAATGCTTGTCTGAGTTACATGTGAATGAGTCTGAAGTGCAATATCTATATAGATAAGTGGTTCATTTTTGAGAATGTATCTATGGGGAAAAAAACCTATTTATACAAGAATTTCACTGTTCTACTTAATATGATAGTAACCTTAAAGAAAATAGTGAATGTTTAGGGCTTTTATTTATTTAAAAAATTTCAATTAAGTGCATGGCATATGCTGCCATTCACATGCTGTGATTTATTAATTTTTGTAGCATAATGGTTATCCTGCAGACTATCAGTGTTGTCTGATCTTTTCTGTCCTGATAATGTATTTTTGTAAATGACCATATTTAAAAACAAAAATCTTTATGTATATTTTATTTCCCCATGAAAAATAACCCATTAAATTCTTGTAACTTATTTGGAAAAACTCACAATACTTTTCCATATCATTTTAGAAATGACAAGGTGCAATTTTCATGTACAGTGGATTGGTCATTTCACTTCTGATAATTTAGGGCTTTAAAAGCTTACTTCCAAAGCCCTTTGAAGTCAAAGGGAAGGTTGCTAGTGGGTTTTGTGGTTGGTTTTTCAAATCCCCATCATTTTAGGAGGGCTTTGGATCAAGCTGTATCCTGTTAACAGACATTCAAAGCCAGTTTGGATAATAAAGCCTTGACTTTTTAGTCTGCCATATGGGAGCTGCTGTTGATAATACCTGCCTTATTTTTGGTTGTGTGAAGCATTTTGCAATGACTGTTGCTAACTAGCCAATGTCTTGCTGTATTATTTGTACCTCCTAATTTGCCAGTAGTAAAAAAACTTAACCAAGCACATATAGTGTCATTATTTAGGGAAAAAGTATCCCGGAGACAAAACCATCTCTGTTGTGGAGATGGTCTTTTGTACTCTAATTTATATTTCAAATGTCTACAATTAGAAAAAATAAGCTGTGAATGGACAGTTTTACAATTACTTATAGGTATACATCCTTGAAGACCACAGCTAGGAACAAAATACTTTTTAGATGAGTTGCTGGTATATAAAATTATTATGAGACCTATCAGCTATTTAAATTGTGAATATTGATATTTTCATAAGTAGACAATATCTTGTGTTTGACAAACTTGTTTGTATTATAATAAATTATGAGATGGTGCATAACTTACTATTGTGTGTGAAGCTATTGTTTGATTTATGGATTCTTACAATATACTTCTGATTTACAGATACTTATGATACACTGCAAGTAACATCAACCCTTGGCAACCACAGTCTTAGATTATGGGTGTTCATTTCCTGAAAAAAAACTCTGAAATGTAAGATCTATAAATTATTACTGGCCCGATTCTTCATTTTGAAGAAGAGATCCAGCTGCTCTAAGTTAAGTTTAGTTAAGTTAAAGTCAATGAATATCAGTGGAAAGCTAGACTTTAAAATGCTGACACCTTGTCCAAACAAGTGTGATACCAAAAAATCAGGATGATACCCCTGGTCTGTGCAAGTGGTGGGATATCCCATTTTGAGATAAGCAGCCAGAGCCCCTGTCTCCATCAGTTGGTCATCCCAAACATTTTGGATTTCATTGGTTCCTGCAGGGAATTTCAGTCTGTTGCAGGAATAAGGATCCCTCATGAAACCCTTACAGATTTGAGTATTGGCAAATATGTGAACATGATAAACGTATTGTACCTGCTGCCAGGAATAGAGAGTGAAAAAAAACTCAAAAGTATGATGAGAAATAAAAAATACTAGAGATAGAAAGTGGAATCAGGACCTCAGAGGACTGCATGTGGAGGAAGCCCAACATTTCTTCAAATGAAAATTATTAACACTATGCAGATTTCATACCCCTGGCAAATGTAAAACTTCGTAGAGCTAGGATCAAGCTCCTAGCTTCTCTGGAGAAGTAAAAGCACATGAAAAGAATATTACAGAAAATATTAAAACTAAGCAGAGAGTAGAGACAAAACTGCCCAGAAAGAGTCCAGTATTTTAGAGGTCAAGAATCCAGGCAATGCCCAACCTGCTTGTGAGATTTCCCTGCTGTGAAAGGCTGGGAACAGGTTTTAAAGGACAGCTTCAAAGAGAGAAGCCAGGGGAAGGGGACACTGCAGAAGGGGTCAGTGTCAGATTTGATGGAGCTTATCAGAGTTGTTCCTTAAGGAAGGAGCCTGGGGTCTGCCTGTCTTGATAGTTTCATTAACAGTTACAGCATGAGAAGTCCTGATGAAGTGTACAGGTTATTAAAAAAGGAATTATACTGCCAGCAGAGGACTGAAAGACAGGTATTTCATGTCAGAAACAGATGACCTTGAAGATGGCAGTGATAAAAATGAGATGAATTCAACAGTAATAAGCACAAGGTTCTCCAGTTGTCTGCCTATAACAATACATTTGCTATAAAACCTCAGCAGCCAGAAACAACCAAGAACCCCGTTGTGCCAGCTGGGCTTGAATGACAATGAGTCACCAACAGAAAGCAGCTGAGAAAAATCCCAGAATGTAATCACAGACACTTCTAAAGATACAGCACAGTATTAATTGCATTTTATAAGACTTCATGTGCTATATGCATATGTATATAAAGGGATAAAGAGCAGTGCAGAAGAACTTGATGTAACAGCTGGAACAATAATAAGTGTTTATGAATTTTTCTCAGGTAAATTTGTCCTGGAAGTTAGAAGACAGGCTAATGACTGAAGCAGGGAAGGCTCAGCAAAAGCCTTCCTAGCAGCTCCACTGGTTTTAAATGGCGATTGGGGGGTTCATGCACAGAATTATGAGCTGAGGCAGGCAGCAGAACACACTGGGACCGTGCTTCTTTGGAAGCAGCTCAAAAGACAGCTGAGGTGCTCCCTGAGCCTATTCATCCCACTGGGGCTGCTCTGAGGGACACTGTGAGAGCCATGAGAGCGAGCAGCTACTCTGAGTGATTCCTGCATGCAGCCACAGAACAACACACTGTGGAGTTTTTCCTCTCTTTTCTTTCATTTATCTACTTAGGAGTTTCAGAAAAAGCTACCTAATTGAACTCCAGGCAGTTTAAAGGAAGGGATAACTCCACAGTAACACAGGAGCAGAGGAATAATTTGTATTACCTCCTCTTTTAGCACTACTGCTGGGGTCAGTTTAAACAGAAACAACCCAACCTCCCATGTCATGTTATGCATCCTCAACAGGTTGGATGATGTTGGATAATTGCTTTGCTTATGTTTAAGACAAGAAGTTCATGTTGGTGATATTTAACATGCCCCAGCTCCTCCAGCAGCTTCTTTTCTCTCTGAGCTGCCAGCTCTGCTCTGGGTTCAAACATGGGCACCGTCCTACAGTGTTTTCACACTGGGGAAAATGGGAAATTTGGGGAGGTGCTG